CTCTGTAGTGATGGCGGAGGTGAGCGGAGACATAATTTAGACCTAAGCAGAGAAAACCCATAGCAACTCTGACTTTTCTGACGTGCTTTGTGGGAGCTTGTGGAAGGGAAGGTTCTTTCCACCCATGAGAAAGGTGTGTCTGATAGGACCCCAGCGAGCCGGCAAGAGGGAGTGGGTGTGCGCTCCTCGGCCAGGGGCACCGCTGTTGGACCCACCACCGAGGGCCCGTGTCAACCTTACCCTCAAGAATTTTGAACTTCATTTTGAATTTATTTTCTTTTTTCAAAACTTTTTTGTAGATTTCTTTTATAAAACCATGAACTTATCCAGAGAGTATAGGTAATTTGAATATTTAGATGCAGAGAGAGTTCTGTTGTTCAACTTGGGTTTCTCAGGTCACGTCTAGGACTCGATCACTTTATCTAAGCGCCCATTCTCTTTGTCTTGGGCAGAGTACAGAATGCAGGCTATTCTGTGAGCCGGCCGGAAGGTGACACAGGGAAGTACAAGTCCATTCCTCATCACCATCGAGGAGAAGTCCAGTTTCTGGGAAGGTTGGTGCCTTTTCCTTATTCCTCTGAGGACTGTCCTCGACTTTGCATTTCCGGGTGTCCCAGGGCACATTGCAGCCCCTCGTCTGACCCCCCAGCCTCTCTCCCAGGTCCTGCTCATAGGTCCCAAATAGACTTGAACTGTGAGGCCAGCGTTTGAGGGTGACATCAGACTGTTGATTGTAAGACCCTTTAGGGGAATCACTCACTCTTCATCTCACGCTTTGTAGTCTCCTCTGTAGCTGCCGAGAGTTGGGGGAAAGTCCACGCGGGTAAAGGTCTTGGACTTTCACTGACGTGACACGGCAGAGTTGGCACCTGCCTGCAAACTCCGGTTCCGAGGGGTGGCCCTGAGCCTCTGTTTGTGTGGTTGCAGTTGCTTTAACACCTCTCCGCTTTCAATACGTAAATCCTAGGTTGGACTCTTGGGGCGTGTGGACGGAGTTGCACCTCTGCATTTTCAAGGGCAACTCTCTGTCTTTTGTTAATGGGGGTGGATGGTCTCTGGAGAGCCAATTCTGATTGCATGAATTCTGTCTTCACGGGAATTACAGGGCACTGAGTGCAGACTCTGAACTTTCCCATCTGATGTATTCGTATCTTACCTCCCACTTCCCCATTCTGTGACCGTGGGCAAGTCATTTAACATCATGAGCCTTGGTTTCCTCATTTGTTTGAGAGGCGGGTGCCTCAAATGAAATCTGTAATAAAGCAGCTGGCATGAAACAGGTGTTTCTAATAATAACAGCCTTGGGCAGGGAGCAGCCGAAAGGCTGGTCACCCACCATGTGTCCCCCCCTGAGGGCTGCCCTGCCCCATCGTCTGTCCTGAGGGGGTCGGGCCCCTCTCAGAGCCACCTCTGTTCTCTGCACCAACAGGTACGCTCTGCTGAGGAGGTCCAAAGAGCGGCAAGGGCTGGACGGCCTCAACAACTTGAACTACTTTGCAAACATCACATATGACGCCTTGTATAAAAACATTACTGTCAACTTGACACCTGAGCTGGCTCAGGTGACCGAGTACTAAGATGAGGAGGGAATGTGTGTTGCTTTACCCACCACCACCAAGAAAGCAGCCTGATGTGTGGAGATGTCTTGGGGCTCCACACGGGATGGGAATTAGAAGAACGGCGTCTAATGAAGGATCACAGGGTTCAAGGAAAACTGTGAACAGAGTACACGCACAAAACCTTCGCTGTTTGGACCCGCTGGGATCGAGGGAGTCGGCTCGGGAACTCCTTTCATCAGGACTGCTTTCTATTTTCACAAGACAGACGTCTGTCCTGCTGCTCTTCTCCCCGTCTCCTCCCCCACGTCCCATCTTAGCCACAATCTCCAGAACCGGAACTGTGATCCGCCGTGGGCCTGCCCCAGAGCCTGTCCTACGAATGGCCTTTGGAGCTTCTTGGCCTTCAGAGCAAAGAGGCGGACAAACGCACCGCAGGGCAGCTGTGTCTTAGGAAGAGCAAATGAGACTCCACACACCATCTCTGGTGTTCTCTTCGGTTTCATTTTTTTTAAATTACCTGCTTTGGGTGGGGATCGAGGGTAGAGGGGAGGGATTGGGGAAGATAAATAGACATGCAACAATCACTTCTTGAAGAAGTATAATTGTAAATAAGCCATGTAAAATGCCTTTTTTAAATTTAATTTTATAGCTGGCTTCAATTCAAACTGAGGATTTATCTTATTAGATCATTATTTGGTTGGCAACTGCAGGAACTCTGTTAAGATGCTGTGGAAGAATATATCTCCCAATTGCTGTCACTTTGTAAGGGAGTGGATTTAGGGCGCGTCACAAAAGAACAAAACAGTCCAGTCTTTGTCACTGGCACCTACTTCTGCCCCCGCCCAGCCCCTTCTCCCAAGGTCTTGCTCTTGACTTTTGCTCTGGATTCCCTCCCCTGTTGGGCACGGACATGCTCTTCCCAATCTTTTGCTGAACAGGAAGTTGCTGTTTTACAGCAGGCGCTCCCTCTGCTCAAAGCAAGCCCTTCGGGTGGGGGCAGGGCGGGGCGGGGCTCACCCGGCACACGGGCACCCACGGGTCCCTGCACTTTGTTTCGTTCTTTCATCATCATCAAGAGAGAGGATGAGTGGTGTCTCTCCCCGCCCCCCCCCGCCCTTAAATTTTTTCCCCTCTTGAGGAACACGACCACAATTTCTAAAATCTGTGCCTAAATTACCAACTAGCGACCAACTAGTGATCCCTCTGAATATTTCCTTTACTGATTTCTGGAAAGATTCTTTGTCAACATTATTAACTAGTACATAGAGCTAGCGAGCAATCGAATGATAAAGAACTCATTGGGAGCAAGTGACACTTATGTGTCGTGGGTCAGCTGGGATCCATCCAGGTTAGACCAAATCAGAGCTTTAAATTGGACTAGCAAAGCCAGGGTGCAGGAGTCACGTGGGCTGTTGACACCCCATGTGCTTTTGGAAGTCAGATTCTAAATTGCATTTGAATTTGTGCCTCCCTGTTTTTGCCCTGAGCCAAATCCCTCAGTTCACAGTCCCCGTTGACTTCTGCAGAATTTTGAAAAATGCCAGTTTCCCCCCCTCCCTTTCCATAAAACGTATTTATACATCTTGATTGGGAGTACGTTCTGAAGAGCACTTCGTATTTTTTTTAATTGCCTTGTTTGCCTTTAACTTCCTTAATTTCATGGTTTACATGGATGTGTGTATAGGGGTATATTTGTACACACGTGTGGGTGGGGGTTTTCTCCATTGCATGTGTTGGTTACATGGACGTATGATCCCCACAAGCTGTGGGAGTGATTGGCCAGGCCTTGTTTTTGTTAATGTTTTGTTCTTTTGAAGAATAGAGTGGTATTTAGAAAATCAGTTGCTCTTATCGGCTCGTATGAGAGAGCAGGCTGCTGCCCTTGAAAATGCTGGTAAGCTGTATCATATGTTTTAAAAGAATTTGAGAATTTCATGCTTTAAAAGACCTTCACAGGGAACATTACACATAGTTCATTTGGTTTTCCTTTGGTGTATGGTGCATATAGCAATAAAGACTACTTTCCCTCTCACCCACCCTTCCCATTCCCCCTCCCTCATCCGTCACTGAAGGCTGAGCTGCCCTAAGTGTGACAAAACTAGGATGCCGTTTGGCAGAACTGGCCAGGACAGACTGCCGGGCCGCTGGCGGTGTTCTAAAGTGATCTTCTTTGAAGCTTTTTTTATTAATGTCCTTACAGCCAGGAACCAAATGTTGGTAAAAGGCTGACACCTGACTTAAAAAAGAAAATGCTGGATTGAGGACAAAAAGGAAAGGTCTCCTGAAGTGGGGTCGCTTAAATTATCTTGCAGTCACCTGTAAGTTTGTATTATTAGTGTGAGCTCTTACTGTGTGCTGTTAGTCATTTATCCACCGCGTTGAGCCTTGTGTGGGAAACTAAAATGTTAAAAACACACAGCTGGGCCTCAGTGCTGTTAATGGTGTGAAATTCTCATGTCAAAAAAGAAAAGGAACAATAAGAACCAAATGTGACCTTGTGCATATTTTGGCAGCTGAATTAGTTAAGGCTACTGATGGGTGACCCCTTACATCATTCTTGTCTTTGATTATTGAGTACAGGGGAAGGTTTTCCTTTCACACTCGGTTTTTATTTTGGGGGGGAGGGGGGTTACTTGCAAAAATATTCATTTTGACATTACAGGGACTCTGGTAAGAGCTCCTCTATCGCAGACATTAATAGCTGAGCAACAGCCACATGTATTGATTGTATCCACCCACCATTGACGATGACATTGAACGTAGCTAGCTTATTTCCATCACTACGTTTTTTTGAGCTTACTCTTATGTTTTAAGAGGTGCCAGGGGTACATTTTTGCACTGAAATCTAAAGATGTTTTAAAAAACACTTTTCACAAAGATAGTCCTTTGTCATTACATTATTTACTCATGTGTTTGTACATTTTTGTATGTTAATTTATGAATGATTTTTTCAGTAAAAAATACGTATTCAAGAACCAAACCTTGGTGGTCGTCTCTCTCTGCCTAGGACTGTGGCTTCTTGGGCCTTTCCTTTCTTATGCGAGTTCAGCTCCTCCATGTGTTCCTTCAAGCACTGGGCTTCTCCTTTGCTCAGCTCAGCACTGGGGGTTCCTAAGAGCACTGCCCACCCGACCCTCGCAAGCAGACCAGTGAGTGAAAAACGCAGCCAGTGTAGCAAAAGCACCGAACCCCACTGTCCTATTCAGGCCTCCTGCCACACCAGGGTTTTCTCTGAAGAATTGGCCCAGGTGACGCCCAAGTCGATTAAGACCCCGGAGCAAGGGGAGGGTGAGGGTCGACAGTTTAGATCCAGAAGGTCCGCTGGAGTCAGTCCAGAGTTTGCGGTCTGCCTGATTCTGCTCAGAGATGCTGATCATATGAATGCTGACCACTCACTATACTTATGAGCGTAAAGTTCTGTGCCCAGGAGTTGGGGACATAATGACGAGCAACAAGACAAGGTCAGTGTCATTGCTTACTCTTCCCCCGCCCACCCACCGAGGTTAAAGTTCCAACCTGGATGAGTGCTATAAAGGAGATGCTGTGGGCACCGGGTGCACAGTGGGGCAGCTGCCCCCGAGATACAGTGGGTGAGCTACAGGAACAGGAAGCCATGAAGGTTAGAGAGATCAAAGGACCACACTGGGCACTGTTAGTCTGAGGGGTTGGGTTGGGCCAGACTGTACTGCAGGGCCTTGTGGGCCAAGGTGAGTAGTTTAGATTTTAACCTAGAGCAGCGGGTGCAAGAGTTTCCAGCAGGTAGGGCTCAGTGTCATGTGATTAGACAGTGGTTTTTAATAGATCGCTGGCTGCAGGGAGAGTGGGGGATTGTAGAGAAGCGAAGGAGAAGCAGGGGAGCCAATCAGGTGAGTCCAGTCCATGGGCCCATACGAAGGAAAGGAGGGGTGCTGGGGTAATACAGCCATGGAGAGGAGGGGTGCTGGGGTCAGACAACCTGGGCACAGGTTGCTGTAGGGATGGAGGCCTCCCTCGAGCTGCTGGCTTCCCCACTTGGTGGATGGCAAGGCCATTCCCTGAGACAGGGGCACTGGAATCGGACCAGGTTCCCAGGGAGGGTCCTTGGATCAATTGCGAGTGTATTGAGTTCAGGGGGTTTTGAGACAAGCAAACAGAAATGACGAATAGGCAGTCATACATGTTCTGGTTTGGGGACTCAAAGGAGTGGTCGGGACCAGGGATGGATTTGGGAGGTAGGAGTAGAGGAGGAACTGAGTGGAGCTGGAAGGGTTGTAGGGCGAAGAGAAGATGGCCATGGCCCAATCTCTAACATCTCCGTGTAAGAACATTTGAGAAGAGGTGAGTGAACGAAGTAGACAGGAAGAGAGGCAGGAGGAAAACGAGTGGCTAGGACAGGAGGGTCGTGGGAAGAAATGTTCAAGGGAGTGGCCCACAGCAAGGATGCAGCAAAGCAGTGAAGTAAGTGGAGTGAAAGCTAATGGTTGGTCATGTGGCACAGTGGTTTGGCTGAACTCGGGCACGGGGGAGGCGCACGCTGGAGTTTGGCGGAGATAGCAGGAAATGAAGCAGCAGTCCTCCGTGTTGGCACTTCTTGAATTTCACGAGAAGAGAGAAAAAGAGAAGGCGGGTGGTTTTAATTTTCCAACAAGAGAAACTGAGTGTGTTGTTGAAGCAGAGGGATATGCCCACCAGAGAAAGACAGAGAACATACCCGAGCCCAGGGACCATCCAGCAGCATGCTCCTGAGCTGGGACAGGGAGGAGTGAGGAGCGAGGAGCCCTTCGCACACCACTTCCAGTTGGCCACACAGACACGCCAGAGACCAGGGTTGCCGTTAGAAAGGGCACGGGCCTCTTATCCCCCGAGGTAGAGTGCGGTTGAGTGGGCTCCAGGCACTGCCACTTCCTCCCACTATATTGTTTCTCTTAATTTTGTGGAAGTTCAGTCATAAAAACAGTAGCTCCCATTTATTGAGGGCTTGTTCTGTGCTAATTAAGCACCTTGTACACAATTAGGCCTCAACCCTGCAAGGTAGACTTGCCCCTTTTTCTAGAACCCCGTTTCTCAACCTCAACTCTGGATACCTGGGGCGGGTGGATTCTCTTTCCGGAGGGGAAGGCTGTTGTCCTCTGCACTGGTGCATGTTCAGTAGCACCCCTCCAACCCAGGTGTGACAACCAATAATGCCACCAGACATTGCCAGACGACCCCGGGAGAGCAAAATCCCCTGGTTCCACCAAAGCCACTGCTTGCCTGAGGTCACAAAACACCCATGGAGCCATCTGGCATGTGGACACCAAGTCTTTTTACCCCAAGGTTAATGCTCTGAACCCCCAAGCTGCCTCTGACCCAACTTCTTCTTTGCATATGCGCTCTTAAGAGCTTTTGTTTAGACACAGTTTACAAGTACTTTTATTATAAACTAGAGGCCTGGTGCATGAATTTGTGCATGGGTAGGGTCCCTCGGCCTGGCTGGTGATTGGGGCTGATCGGGGCCATCTCGCCCAGTCCCAATTGGGGCCAATTGGGGCCGGCCAGCGGTGGGGAGGGACCGTGGTAGGTTGTCCAGCCATGGGGAAGGACTGCAGGAGATTGGCTGTGGGAGCACACTGACCACCAGGGGGCAGTGTTGAGCATCTGCCCCTTGTTGGTCAATGCACATCATAGCAACCGGCCGCTTAGGCTTTTATATATATAGATAGATGTAATACATGAGTACCGGTTTTTTAAAAAAATATATTTGATTTTTACAGGGAGGAAGGGAGAGAGATAATTAGATGGTTTTTTAAAAAAATATATTTGATTTTTTACAGGGAGGAAGGGAGAGAGATAATTAGAAACATCGATCAGCCACCTCATGCACACCCCCTACTGGGATGTGCCCGCAACCAAGGTACATGCCCTTGACCAGAATTGAACCTGAGACCCTTCAGTCTGCAGGCCAACGCTCTATCCACCGAGCCAAACTGTTTACTGGGAAAAGTTCTAACTCTCATTCCCTTTAATGCCAGCAGTCTGGCTAGTGTCTGTACCTATACACAAATACCTACATGTATGTATAGGAAAACAAAGACAGGTAATATACACTTTAAAAAAACAAACAAACATAAGTTCCCTTAATAAGCTCTTGATGCAGTGATGGAATTCTCAGCCTCTTTGGTCTCTCAGCCCTGGGAAGTTTTGTAGACAGGCAGTATGAATTCACCCTTGCCTCATCTATGATTGACCATGCCCTTTCTATCATTAATCCCCTGGAATTGATTCATGTGAGGTAGGCGAGGGTCCAAATGTATTTTTTACTGAATCAACTGCTAATTGTCCCAACAGTTTTTATTATTATAATTGCCTCACTTATATGGAACACTGTATCTCATATATTAAATTTTATAACAAGATTCTTCCATTCTGCTGAGCTCTTTGTCTCATTCTACCTTACATGGTTTATATTTACATTACTATATTTCCATAGTATGTTTTTATAAGACAAGTGTCTCTCCTCCAATGTTTAAACAAGTTTTTCTAGAAGTGGAGTGTGCATACAGAAGAGTCCCTATATGATGTATGGACTTTTTGAATTGTCGGATTGAACATACCCATCTAACATCATTGTTTATTATCAAAATTTTCTTGGCTATTTTTATGTATTAATCCAATGAAATTTAGATTCATTTTTTCGATTTCTAGTAAAAAAAAATCTAGGGTGAAGATTGGCATGACATTGAATTGTTAACTTGGGAAGGCTCGGTATCTTCACAATATTAAGTCATATCTAGAATTATTTTTTTTATTTTTTGCTGAAAGAAACCTTGGGCCATCTACTCCAGCCGTGACCAACTCATGTCCCCACAACCACATTGTTATTATTCAATGGGTTTCCAATTTAAAAAATGGTGTGAAAAAGAAGAATCCCTATATAATAGGCAGCCACAACCTTACGGCCTCTGTCTGTATTGTGATCTCACTTTGTATTTGCTTCCATTAAGGTAGTTCTTTTAACAGAAATGTCAGGGCTCTTGCACTGACTACACATCTTGGCTCCATTTACTTCTCCTGTGGGTGGGTTGGTCTGAAACATTAGACTTCAATAGTGAGAATACTTTGTATTTCTATGTGGTGTTTTAGAGGGAAGCCTGCATGGACTGACCGCCTATGGTATGTCCAGCACGGTGCTAGGGGCTCCTGTGTGTTGAGGCACCTCTTCCTCTCCGTGTGGAAAGCATTGTCACCTCCCTTTCCCAAAGGAGCAGACAGGACCTGAGAGCGGTGACCTCACCGCGGCACCTGCGGCAGGATTCAGGGTTGGGTGTGTTTGGCTCCTTCTACATCCATTATATCTTATCTCATTTGGTTCTTTACCTGCCAAACAGTGGGGTTCATTCTCTCATTCATTCAGCAAATATTTGAGCACCGACACTGTACTTCAGGTCATACCGAACACTCGTCCTGGACTAGGTGCTGGGGATTGAACAGGAAAACAGGGCTTGTGTGTTTCATTCTAGTGGGGAAGAAAGACCAACAACCAGCCAAAACCCACTTCATGGTCTTGACGACGTTGGGGAGCGACAAGGCACAGTCAAGATTTCAGTTCTAAACGGTTCTGCCTCCAGAACTGTTGATGAGGATGTGGAGAAATGGGGACCCTTGTGTGCTGGTGGAGGGAATGTCCAATGGTGCAAATGCTATGGAGAACAGTACATCTTTAAAAATTAAAAATAGAAGTACCACGTGATCCATCGATTCACTTCTGAATGTATATCTAAAAGAATTGGAGGCAGAGTCTCAAAAAGATATTTGTACACCTGCATTATTCACAGCAGCCGAAAAGTGGAAGCAGTCCCGGTCTCCACTGATGGATTATTGGACAAAAAAAGTGAGACACGATTTAGCTTTAAAAAGGAAGGACATTCTGACATACGGATGAACCTTAAGGATATTGTGCTAAGTGAAATAAGCCAGTCACAAAAGGACCAATACCATATGATTTTATTAATGTGAGGTTTTTAGAGAAGTCAAACATAGAAACCTAAAGTAGAATGTTGGCTGCCAGAGGCTGAGAGGAGGGGGAAGTGGCGAGCTGATGAATGCACATACAGTTTCATTTTTGCAAGGTGAGAACGTTCTGGAGATTGGTTGCACAATAATATGAATAGGCTCCAGGGTGTGTCCTGCCTGTCTCGCCCAGTCCTGATCAGCCAGAACCCATCAGCAAGCTAACCTACTGGTCAGAATGTTTGCCCCCTGGTAGTCAGTGCACGTCATAGCAACTGGTCGAATGGTCGTACACTTAGCATATTAAGCTTTTATTATATAGGATTTGTTGACTTAATTTGTAAATTATAAAAAAAAAACCCCACACAAAACACCCAGCCCTGGCCTGCGTGGCTTAGTTGGCTGGGCATCGTCCAGTGCACCAGAAGATTGCCAGTTCGATTCCGGGTCAGGAAACATACCTGGGTTTCGAGCTTGATCCCTGGTGGGAGGC